GAATATCATGGCGAACTAATCCCAAGGGGCAATCTTCCGAATTCGAATACCACAAAACTTTGAGGTTATTATCAATTTCAATTTAATTCAGTTTCTTTCTAATTTTTTCTATAATTTTTGTTTTCTTAATTCGTTTCTTATAAATAGATTGGATTTAATTCGGTTGATATATGTTCCTTACTTTAATCGCGTTTAACTTAGCTTTTTCGTTAACTCGCGTTATCTTTAACCGTTTGCTTAATTCGGTGAATCGTTTGGTTTATTCGGTGATTAGGAACATAACTTGTGTAGTATTATCGATGCTTGTTTATTCAATATTGCATTCGAATAGGGATTGAAACCACTTAGAGAATTGGAATTATAATGTTATCACACTAATAATATTATTAGTGGACCTAAAATAATTTAATATTTAAAATTAAGACTTAAAATATTTACTAATTAAAAAATTACAGACATTTTGTAAAAATTAAATAAGCTTGTTACAAAAACTAAAATAGTTATTAAAAACAATAGAAACAACTTGTAAATATATATATATATATATATATATATATATATATATATATATATATATATATATATATATATATATATATATATATAATATATATATATATATATATATATATATATATATATATATATATATATATATATATATATATATATATATATATATATATATATATATATATATATATATATATATATATATATATATATATATATATATATATATATATATATATATATATTTCTTCTAAATATGAACAATTGTTCTTAGACTACCGACAAATTAGTGGCTATCAACTAAGATCTACATTAAAGAGTCAAGCATAGATTATTTTAATGTCTCAATGTTCAATGTATCTACTAAAGTGATAAAAACAAGTCGTTCAAAATAATTGGCCATTGCATTTTCAATTTTTTATCCATTTGAGGTCATATTGATTTTTTTTTTTGGTATGCAATAAGGTAATCTCATGTGAGAAAAAATCTTATGAAAGGCTTAAATATAAGTCCAATAATTAGGATGCAACTAGGAGGTCGCCACAGTCAGGTGATTCATAATTTTTCGTTGTATGATGTTGTAATCCCATTATTGTTACTAACAACAGCTCTAAAATCGTTCATGTTATTGTAATGTCTCCCTGTTGATATCACAATTGATTATAATATTAAAATAAAATGATTAATGAGTTGTTTCATTAAGTTATGTTATTAGTGATATAGTATAATTGGGATTTTTTTAACTCAATCTAAGTTTGAAATTATGCACAACAAGAGTAGTGTGTGTAACATCCACTGCTTCTTCATCTACATATTTGCTCAGTTTGGCTCCAAATTCCATTGTAGTTACTACAGTTGCTCATATAAAACTTTTTCAACACATCTGCAACATACTTATTTTGGTGTGGGAATATACCTTTGCATGTTATCACAAATTCCACCCCAAAGAAATATGATAGGGTCCCAATATCAAATATCTTAAACTCTAATTATATCTATCTTGAAGGTTTCTAACTCCTTCATTTTCATCAGCGATTGGCTAGTCATCAACGTATAGTCACTCTATCAACAATTTCTTCTTACTTAATTTTCTTACATATTTTGATGCACACTTAGTGAATCCTAACTTGATAAGAAATGTGTCAATTCTGTTATTCCAAGTTTTATGGGCCTAATTCAATCCATATATAACCTTTGTTAATCTAAACATTTTTTCTTCTTCTTTTGACTAAGTCACCCTCTTAAAGTGATTGCTTGTTTGGAAAACACATTATAACATCATGACATATTGAGTTTTAGCCCTGCTTCATTTTTTAAATTTTTTTTCTAATGTGTTCAATTATATCTTCAATGATAAAACACTATTTGCTGATCATATATCATATTATTAAATCAATCAAGAAAGCAATCGACATACAAATTTATTATGCATTAAATTCATTATATTGAAAAAAAAAAATCACAACGTGTCCAAACATCTTTTGATGTCTTGTCTCTAAACATCTATAATTTTAAATAATAAAACTTATTAGTATATAACTGTCGCACTTCGAAAATTCATTCGAACAATACGACCCTCGCGCTAAAGGCGCGGAAATGCGATTCGACAGATTCGCCACCGAACTTTATTTATCCCGAAGAGACGAGAAAGAAAAATATCAAGAAAACCTTTTAAAATGAAAGGACAGGAACACGACCGTCACAACCAATGTTCTGGGTTCGAGAGTCGATTACGCAAAGGGAAAGTATTAGCACCCCTCACGTCCGTTGTATTCAACAGAAACCTCTTAATTCGAATTGCAATGAACGTTAGCTAAGCTTATTTGTTTTCTTCTCAGTGATAAATGCGAACTAGTAGAATAAAAGGATAACGATGCTAAGGGGAATGGATGGTTAGGATAGGGTGCTCGCCAAGGATTGGGACCCTTGTGGCTACGTATGCTCATGCGGACGAGAATGAGAAATCAGAGCTTCGTAGTTCGACTACGGGAAAGGATGGGGGAAACAGAAGATGGAAGGAAGGTAGCTTTCCAAGATCATCGTAATCTCATGCCTATGTATCTTGCATTCAAAGAAATGAATGAAGAATCAGAGCGTTCGTAGTTCGTTCACCGGTGATGCTTGTAGCACCCCAAAATTTGCCCTCTGTTTTAACCTTAACTGGCTTTTGTTTCGTTGCATTTTGCATAGCATAGCATTTGTTCTTGAGGCAGGGGATCAAGGTTTTCCTGTGGTCCAGGGCTCTTCCTTTTAGCACAAAAGACTGAGCAACGAGCAACAGCAGCTCTGACATTTATTTTGCCCAGCGGTCGAGCGGCCGATTTTATTTTTTGTTTGGCAGGATATTTTTTAGCTCAGCAGGCGGCACTCAGGCTATCTCGAGCATTCTCTGGGTTATAGCATTCAAAGGCAAGTTTCGGAGGCCTATCAGGACCTAGAACAGTTGAAAAGGGCAAGTGTGCAGATTTCCCTCCAAAAGGCGTCAAATTCAAAATTTTGAAGGACATAAGTGAGAGTTGCTCCTTCACTTGTCTTCTTACCATCTGAAGCCTTCTACTCCCCTTTGTAAGCTGGAGTCACATAAGGTTTTCCTCTAAACTATTCTTTCTCTTTCTTCTCACTAAGATGTTTATAGTGAGACGACCAAGCTTTGTTATTCTTATCATAGATCCTACTCTTATTCACCAGTTCAGCATACCTACAAATATGTTGGTATCCAATATCTTGTTTGATCTCTGGTCTCAGTCCATTCTCAAACTTGAGACATTTAGAAATCTCAGCATCAGCACGGTTGTAATGCGGACAAAACTTCACTAGCGCCTCAAACTTTGCAGCATACTTTACCACAATCATGTTTCCTTACTTCAATTCAAGAACTCTACCTCCTTCTTACCACGAACGTCCTCAAGGAAATACTTCTCCAAGAATTATTTCTTAAATGCATCTCAAGTTATCTCAGTACCAACATCCTCCAATCTCTAATGTGCATTATCCCACCAATCTTCAGCTTCTTCTGACAACATATGAGTACCAAACTGTACCTTCTGAGGGTCAGTGCATGCCATCACTCGAAAGATCTTCTCAATCACCTTGAGCCACTTTTGTGCGCTCTCTGGATCATGAGTACCCATGAAAGTTGGCAGATTGTACCTTTGGAACTTTCCCAAAGCACGAAACTCATCAGGATCCCCTCTATTCTGATTGTTTTGTGTTTGGGTCATCACTTGAGCAAGTGTTCCAACGCGTCAGCAATAGCACGACCGTTTCTCCCAACCATTTTGCACACCATCAATCAACATTAAAAGAAACAAATTATCGACAGTGTACACACACTTGTCGACTAGCAAGGGACTGACATCATATAAAAACCTGGTCGGACAGGCCGACCTGCTCTGATACCACTATTGTAACACCCTTCTAAACTCAACAAATAATTTAGCGCATAAATCAATAATTAAATCAGAGTAAATCATCAACAAGGGTGTCACATGCTTCATAAAAATACTCTTATCACACATCCTCCCCCTCCATCTCCTAATAAAGGTATTCTAAACTTAATCATGTATTTGTATTAGCTAAAAGTGTTATTTATGTTATAAATTGAACTTATATAGTATGCTTGGTTTCATTAGTTGGTATCTCTCTAGATTCATACTTTTGGATAATACATGCATGCAGGTCTTCCACCATCTCCACCTTCAATTCCCTCGGGTGTTTCTAATGTAGATGATGGACCGAATCAAAGTCGTGACAACAATGGAATGATGATGAAACCTTAAGGAGTAGTTATACCAAAGAAAAAGAAAGGAGGGAGCAATGGAAGAATGGTTTTTATAATTGTGCTGTCATCGGTTACTGTTTTTGTACTATTTCTTTGTCTGTTGAAATACAGTTCTTGTATTCATCAACATGAAAAAGCTACAGATAGCTTAATGTCATCCTCTTCAAAACATTTAAGTAAGTCCAATTGCTGATATGTTGCGCATAATTATTTTACCCGCACTTTAGTGTGAAGAGAGTCAAGAGTTTAAACTTTCATCCTCTAATGTGTCCGTCTCATCCTATTTTTTTCGCAAACTTTTTACAAGTGCGGACATTTTACATAAATTTTTACATTTTTAAACTTAAAAGTGTCGTTCTTGCGGATTTTTCCAACCCACCCTCACTTTTTTTTGGGGCACATCCTATTTTTTTTTTTGGACTTTTGCGGAGCGGACATCCACCCCTAAATATATTACATGTATCTATGCTGCATCGGTCGGCCATCATTCTAAATGAACTTGTCCAAATAACTAATACTCAAAGTAATTATTTTATTTTTATGAAAATATTTGATACAGGATATTATTGACTACAGATATTATTTCATACAAGAATCCTAAACCATCAAAGCATATAAATTCAAGGTACTTCCAGCCCAATAACTTATTCACTATTCTAAACTAATTATCATGCTAAATATCTCTCAACTTCAACTCTCCCATTTTTCACCAATTCAGCTTTGCAGGAAAGTACTGCAGAAAAGAAAAATGCATTAGCAAATACTTAAAACTAAACAAAAACAACTTTTTAAATTTTCAATTGAAAGAAGAAAAAAAATAGAACCTTCTCAATGAGTGATACATAGTATGGTTTCACTTTTTCAACATCAATTCGAACTTTGCTCTTGCTATAGAGATCATATTTACTACAAGTAATTGAATGAAAAGAAAGTAAAATCAATGCTGTTAAAAAACGGCGCTATAGCGCGATAGCTGAATTCAAACAAATCATGTAAATGTTACTTGAAAATTTGGAGCCATTTGAGATTCTCAACATCCTCATCATTCATCAAGTGTTTATAGGCTCCCTCCCTATGCAAGGCTGCAAAATAAACTTATAGTAAAAATGGTTGAACAAAATAAAATTTTTAGTTCTAGTTGAGTTTACCATAAAATGAATGGTATCTTATAATGAACATAGCAGCTGAGGGAAGAGTAGTTTTGTTTTCCTTTGCAACCTGAAAAGGACACAAATTTTAGAACTTTCCTTCATTGTTTTTGAAATAATTGCAAAAAAAATGACTTGAATTTTTTTCTAAGGACTTACTAGATACATGTAGTCATCATGTCCCCATGACATCATAACATTGTTAAGTCCACATTTCTCAGAGTATATCCCATATTTAGTGTTGTATGCAGAGTGGTTATAGTCTGGATTTTCCTTAAAATACTAAAAGTGGAAATGTAACAAATGTTAGATGTTTAATTTTCATAATCCATCCAAATATAAAAGGAGTTGAAAGGTTAATACCTTGTGATGAACAATGGATTCATCAAATCTGCAGCCAACTGGATATGTGTCACCTATACCAATATAAAAATTATTAGAGAGCATAATTTCAACTAGAAATTGACAAAATAAAATATTAATTTTTTTTTATAAATGATGTTATTGGACATTAAACATTGCACTAACAAAATACACCTAATTAAAATCATATCTAAATAATCTACACCATTGACTTTAGATCCAACGGTTGAAATCAATCAATTTCTTTGTCACAATAACCAAAACCGTATTTTATATCTAAATGTAATTACCTACAACAGCCCATTGAGGAAGTCCTCCAAAACTTGGGAGGAGAAGCACTTTCCCAAGATCTGCATTAAATTGAACTGGTTAAACAAAAAAGTAAGAAAAAAAATTGCTAGAGAAAAAAGAAATTACCATGGATAAGGCCAGTTAAGTGGAGCCAATCTTCATTTGGGTAATCCTTTCTTATAGCTTCAGCTGTTTGTAGCAAATGCTCTATTTGTGGTTCATCCAAATCAGGATCACTTTCATCCACCACTTCATTAAGAAGTTCACAACATTCCCATATACTCATTTCTACCCTCTTCAATTTTCCATACTCCTCTCTCATTTTCCTCACCTGTGTATATGTTACAAAATTAGCATCATTATTTATACCTACATTAATTGTGACAAATGTGTTGTTTCATGTACATTTTGTAGATGCTTACAAAATCAAAGGATTGGTAAATGTGGTTTTTTCTATAGAAATTCTCCACCCCTTCTTGCCTCTGACTTTCAGCAGCATAATCCCTGATTAACAATGACTTGTCACATGTAAGATTATTCTAAAAGTGCTTTAACATGAAGAATTAATTAGAGGATTATATTTAGTTTTATAGAAAATATCTTCATTATACTGTTTTAAAAATAAAAAATAAAAAAACTATTTTCTACAAAAATAAGAAGCAAAGGATGACCATTGATGGACCATCAACTAAAAGAGCTTGATGGGCGTGGCCCAAAGAATAAACATCATCCAAATATGCTTCATGGGCCTGGCCCAAATAATATTTGTCAACCAAAAAAGGCTTAATGGGCCTGGCCCAAATAATATTCATCAACCAAAGAAAGGAGCATTTCTTTTTTGGTAAATTAATTGCATGTGAATGAATAGCATAGGTTAATATGAATTGAACCTAAAAGTGTGACCAAATGAGTTGGCCTGTGGCATAACAAATCCACCGTCCAAAACAAGTTCTGTCTCATTCTCTGTCACTGTCTTTGCCTCTACCTCAGATCCTGTCATTTTTTATAATAAATAATTATTTAATTAATTAACTAGTTGAAGAAAAAAAATCACAAATTTTTTACATCATTTTCACTTCAAAATCAACCCAATTCCATAGATCCAGCTTCAATTTAACTGAAAAATCAACAAATTAACTAACTTGGGTCAAGCAATTCAAACCTTATTCAACGCCTCATGATCTAATTTTATAAATCACAATTTAGAGTACAAAATTAATCAATAGTTCCATCCTCATCACAAAAAAAAAAAAAATCTAAATCCATAGACAAACAAAAAAAATTATGCACAAGTTACTGTCAAAACATAAACGGTGCATAATCATATCTTTTCATATATTTTAAAAATAAAATAAAAACAGCAAAAAGAAAAATAAATAAATCTATATTCACGATCGATCCAAAGAAAAAGAGTCGCACTAAATAATGGAATTTTCTGAAAAAACGAAAAACTTTACTAAAAATAAAGAAAGGTTAAAAATTACCAAAACAATCATGTTGATCAATGAGGATAGTCATGTTTCATTCACTCAAAGAAATTTGAGGAAAAAAAGAAAGAGAATAAGAAAACAAAGAGATTTGAAAAGTTGAAGTATGTTATGGTGGCTAATAAATTTTGCTATTTATAACTGGCCGGAAAGTCCTTCCCTGAGATTTGGAAGTTCCCAAGTCCTTCTCTGAAATTCCTAACATTACTTTTTCTTTCTTTCTTTCCATCTTTATTACAAACATTTCATTTTCTCTCTATACTTAAATACCTATATTAATTCTATCCAAAGATAAAGTGCCAAACAAGTTGACAATCTCAAACAAAGACACACAGTCCCTTAAGAACAATTTTCATTAACTTTTGATTAATATAATATTATCATAATCTATTCATATATGTGATTATTACTTTATTAAACCAAAACAGATTAGTTTAATCAAGGTTGTAACAAAGGTTAAGACAAAACATGTCCTTATAGTCTCATCTAATCCAAGTTATGTAAATTAGGTTTGAGGACTTTCTTTTTTTTAAGGACTCAAAAACTTGTAGATATGTTTTGTGTTTTATTTTAGGAATAAAATTTTGAATATTTTGATTTGTTAAATGATATGGGGACAAAATTGTCAATGTGTGGGACCGACATTAGCCGTATACGATGTGATGAGTGAGTCAGGTATGAGCTGGAAATGATAACATCTGAGGTAAGTGGGGTCCAGTGACGTGGCACCAAGTCAAGTGAAGATAGGAATTGTAGAATAGTCATGTTTAGGGGTGGACAAACGGTCAATTTCGGAACCATAGTTTTATTTTTATGGCGCAATTTTTATAGATAAAATTTCAATTTTCGGCAGATTCAATTAAGTCGGTTTAGTGGTTAAATTAGATCGGTTTAGTCAGTTTAATATTTATTAAAATAAACTTTATAAAAATTATTTTTTTTAATTCTTTATAAAAAAATACTAATTTTTAAAATAAAATAATTTTTATTATTAAAAGAAAAATTATTATTACGAAGTAATATTTTTAATATTATTTGACATTAATTTGTTTTATTATTATCGTATTTTAAATTATAAATTAAATAATAATCAAAATTTTATATTGTATATCTTGTAATCTTGTGATACACAATGTCATCATCAAATTATAAAAATAATATTATCCTACAACATTATAAATCTCATTTTTATAGTGAGTATTTTATATAATAATAAAAATAAATAAAATATATATTGATTAAATTCAATCGATTTTGATTTTTATCGAATCTAAAATAAACATTTGAGTCTAATTGAAGCAATCATATACTATTAAAATTAAATAATCGAATCAACCCAAACTAATTTATTTGCACACAAATATAACAGATTGGTCAATTTTAATCGGTAGGTTCAAATTTGTCTAAATCATGTTTATATTTTCCTTTACCGCCCTTGTTTTTGTTGGCCTTGAAGATCTCACACGTGTTAATAGTTTGGTTTAACACGTGTGATTGAAAGCAACTGTACCATTACACGTCCTTGGTTAGGTTTTCCGTTTCATAGTACTAGTACACTTCTAGTCTATCTTTTCCGTCTCAAATATTTTTTTTAAAAACACTTAAAATATTTATTTTAAATTTGAAAATTGGATTTTTTAATGACATCGTTAATTTATTTTAAGATAAATTTAATATTCTATTTGTCTAATTTGTCTTATGATGAGTATTCATTTAACCATTTCATAGACATTAATAAAAATGTATAAATACTATGATTCTATTTATAATAAAAATTTATTTTTTTTAATACATTAAATAACAAATGTATCCTAACCATTTACATTAGATACATTCGTTATTTAACTAGTTTTAAAAAATTAATTTTTTCCATCAATATGAAGAAAATTTTAGAGAAAATAGGAGATACACTTAAAATAATTTTATATGATATTCAATAAATAAGATTGTTTTTGATGATTTTTTATTTTATATTAATATATATTTTTAAAATTACTTTGAAGCTATAATATTTGATGGTTTTTTATATAATTATAGTGTGAACTTATAATAATAATAATAATAATAATAATAATAATAAAATATAATATAATAATAATAATAATAATAATAATAATAATAATAATAATAATAATATATTTAACTTTTCAAGTGTTTTATTAAGGAACTAGAAATAAAGGTAAATAAATTTTTGATGTGGCGGATCAAGTTTTCTATACGACGGAGAAGAGGTGATCTGCAATAAAAGTTTATATTATTTTATTCGTCTGCGGATTAAGAAAAGTCATAAGGGAGTGTGACGATACACTTGTGTTTAGTGTTGGTCATGCACCAAGGCTCGGCCTTCCTAATTCTTGCTCGAGCGTCCAATATGTCAAACAAGCAGACTTATCTGTGAGACACTCTGGCAGTTATAACTTACGACGAGTGTAGAATCCTTCCTACCACAATTTGATCAGAGAATTCTAGACTACCATTAGAATTGGGACATGAAGGTTAACTTCGGTTAGATTGATACAGGACCCCATATGTAGGATTCTCCAGTAGCCTGTCTGACATCAAAGACCATAAGCGGTGGCAATCTTGGACAGCCTTTTTATCTTAAGCATTGTGATATAGCATTTCATCTTATTTGCAAACCAAAGATTAATTAAGACCCACCAACAATAATCATCTAAGTAGTTCCAAAGAAAAGATAAGGTCTCCTACATTACTCACCATAGATGGCATGCATATCCTCCTTCTAAACAACTTCCCCTAACAAGTGTGTCCTTATGCACCACTTCTTTTGTTTCCTTGACATCGCCCCCGAAGGAACAATGCTGTCAACATAGCATTAAATCTTCAAAGAAAACTACCGATTTCCTCTTCATATAGGTTTGTTTTTTAGACAAGTCATTCAATCTATAGACATAAGACCCAACATTCGCCAAGAAATGGTTATGGCGCCATAACTTGGAGAATTTGCATGAACATTGATAAGAAACTCGAAATCTATGTTGTAGAAGCTAGCATGAACCACCTCAGTAGGGGGTTAACCAGGTAGTCCGGATATTTGAATTTCTTTAAGTTCTATGAGCAAACCTCAAACATTTTAGTGCTCTGCCTAAGGGATATCAAACAATGACCTGGGTTGAATTAGTAAAACTATGTTAGGCTTTAAAGAGGTGGAAGAAGGGTGTCAAAGATGACATGCCTTTCTTGTATTAAAAATAAATCTACGAGACTTTGATATAAGCTCGGCTCAGCGGATGCAGTTGGGAATGAGCAAATACTAGATAGTTTATAACACCCATTTCAAAGTCGTTGAAGGGGAGGTGAAAATCTATATAAAAAAAAGAATCATTTGGGGATAAAGGCAATGCATCTGTCGTACTTGATGCAAATCCTTTTATCCCTTTCGAGAGGAAGCACTCTTCAATCTGAGGAGGGACCTCCTTCAGTAAAAGTGTGATTTATTCCACCCTCGCCTACGAAGGTAAATACAACTTCTAGTGTCTCTTGATCCACCCACACTACAAAGTTGTCTTTCATTGCCCTCCGGACTTTGAAATGAGAGTTGTCAATGTCAAAGAAAAACTACCGAACACATTCAAGAAATGGTCGTAAGAAAAACATGGGATCAACATAAAGACAAACTTGGCATCCCACCAAAACTATTTATAGCAAAAGAACTCACCAAACTATAAAGCAGAAAAGACTAAAAATCCATGGTTTTCCTCTCCAAAAACCCTAATAAAGTAAGGAAGTATGAAAATAAGAGAAAGTTCAAGCTTAAACATTACCTTGAAATATGAGCTCAATAACCCACACGATGTATATTTTAGCAAAAGAGGTGGCGCTAGTACGTCAAAATCAATGGCTGATATAAGGAGAATGGAAAAGATATGAGAGATTAGAGAAGTAGAAAAAGATCTCTCAAAGATTCTCGAGTGGAAAAAAAGAGTAACATTTTAACCTCACAACTCATCATATAATCCTTAAGGAAGATGAACCATGGGATCTTCAACATAGGGAAGCATGAAGCGCACTACCAATGGTCAAGATCTCATCGCACATTATTCATGACCACTCGAACGCTATAGTATTAGAGAGAACAATTACCGTCAAACGTAGGGACGAGTGTGTAAACATACATGCGAAGTATTTCTAATCACAAGGGAGACGTTTAATATGCCTCTTCATAAATACATAAACACCCTAATAAGGCTTATTATTTTCTTCCACCAAAGAATGGATTGAAGATGGATCGGACAAAGCACTTTCTCTACGACGAAGGAACAAGAGCTTGGAGGGAAACTATATTGAGCCGTCTGCAATTCCTATGAAGAAGGCCCAATAATAAGCATTGAATAAAAATGATTACATAACAACTGGATCTTCATCCTTATCGAGTGAAATGTTATATTTGGGAAGACCTAGGCTAGGACGCCCAACAGATGGGCCGCCCAAACGGAATCTAAAGGATTCTCCCATAAAGACCCGCAAACATGTGTTAGCCACCCAATAGAAAGTCCTCGCTAGCTCCGAAATGATAGGTGGTTATTAACCTCCCCTGGTAAGAAGGGGGCAGCTAAAACCACGCCTAAGAGTAGAAAATCATAGGTACCAAAAATCTATAAATACATTACCCCTCAAGGGGATAAGGGATAGACTTTATAAGTCATACACACTCTTCATACTCAAAGAGCACTACAGAGGCAACCACCATAACATATTCCACTAATCTAATATTCGCCTGCAACCCAGCAACAACGGCTACCTGTAGAACCTCTCACCTCAAATAGCCTCAAAAATTATCGTACATGGTTACTCGCCTCATGAGCAAGCCGTCACCATCCAAACGTGTAATATACCTACTAGGGATTCTAAGTCTCCCTGCCCTTGTAGGGGGAGACGCACATCATGTACTTTTTAACCAGTATAGTGGCGTCCACAGTAGGGTCCGGTAAAATTAAACCTTGACCACACTCATTTTTAACAACCATCACCTTCCCTGTCATACCTTTAACTCATACATCTAACCGTTAT